ACTGAGGTGAATGAATGAATCTCCAAACCCAAAGATCTCCTCCTGATGGTGATTGTTGAGACAGCGCTAGAGGAGATTGTGACTCTGAGGTGGTATTAGAAGAGGAAGGTTGGGGTTGCGATGATTGCGATTCCAGGTCGTCAACATTAGGAGGAGAGGCCGGCAATCTTGACGGCAGATGTGATGTTATGAGGTGACAGAAATTCTACAACACAGAGAAATGATAAAATTAATTAGAATTAAATTAATATATTTTTAGTATTTTTAAAAATATTAATATCAAAAATAATTTTTAAAAAAATAAAAAAATATTTATATATATTTTAATACTAAAAATTATTTAATAAACAACCACAAACTATACACATACGAAGTAATATGAACGTTCTTACCATGATCTTGGTTGCAATCGTGATCTTTCCTGAGCATCAACAAGAAGAAAACAAAGAAAAAGAATACTCAGAAATTAATCACGGAGGAGTACGCAGAGGAAAGTGGGAAATATGAAAAAGCAGCGATGGAACGGCAGAAACAAAAGATCACTTGCCCATGATTTTAGAGCAACAGAGACACGCTGAGAAACGGTAAGACTGTAAGAGAGTTGTACTAAGTAGAGAAGATAGCAAGTAATTAATGATATGAGCGAGAATTTACAACTCTTCAGGGAATCATGTCTTGGATAAAGTGACTCACTTACCACGTGTCTTGAAGAATTTATAACTCTTCAAGGATAGTTTTGTCACTTTATACTAAAGAGTAGTGGTGGTTTTGTTACTTTTTGCAAGACACTTCATGCAAGACTGCGGTAGTTTTGTCACTTTACGCAAGACTGCATAGGGGTGTGAATAGAGAAGCTGTAAGATGAGTGTGTATATATACTTAATTATTAGTTATTAATTCAAATTAGGATCATATCTTCAGCCTAGTTAGTTACGTCATTATTTTTACTGAAAAATAGTTGATTATCGTGTGTGAAAATATTTATATTTGTGGTTCAATTGCCCTTCACTTTGTTGAAAATATTTTTTTTAAAAAAACCTGAAGTTAGTTATTAATTGAATCATTCATTGTGCACCGATTATGAATTATTTGCAATCCGTAAACAGGGGAAAAACAACTTGTATTTTAACCTTCCATAGCAAACGTACCATGTATTATTTTTGTTTATTCGTTTGACGTGGTAGGTCATTTGATTATGTGGAAAGATGTAATTTAAATGTATTTTATTTTGATAATAATTTTTAAAGTGTTTAATTATTAACATATAATAATTTTACATAAATCTTATTAAAAACTCTCTCTTTAAAACTTTTATTATAATATTTTTTTTGTAATTTATAATTTTTCTTAAATCTACATTTTAAACCATAGTTATAATTAAAATTCAACCTGTTAATTAACTTGGTATAATGACTGGATCATAGATCTTATAAATTAACCCAAATGAACTCAGAATAACAGTTGTAGTTTCTCTGTCCAAAATTCCAAACGTAAACATTTAGTCTATTGGCTTGGAATTTAAAATTCTTACACCTTCTTTTGATGTTCTTTGTGAATCTACTAAAAAATTATCAAAGCTGGCCTCATTTGTAAAGGTATTGTAAATGGGATGCCCTATTCTAAAAGACTACATGAACCAACCAACTGAGAACTAACAAGAAAAACAAAATTAGCGGCAACAACAATGTAGGTGATAGTTTTTAGAAAAACAGGAAAATGAACATTGGAACATGAGCTTGTTACAAAAATAACAGGCTGCAATGACAAAATCAGGTGCTCACTATTAACCATTACTTGGAAATCTCATGCAATAACAACACCAGATGCATAGCGGCTAAGCATCAATTTCACCAGAAATTAATGTAGCTATTTAGAAAAAAAAAAGTTTCAAAAAAGTGGCTTTCATAAGTCAAACTATAAAGGAATATTAAAACATCTAAATAGAAGGAAAATAGATGATGATGTAAATCAGTGGCATAATGTCTATCCCAAGTTAAAAAATAAAATCAAGGGACCAAGCGAACTGGTAATTCAGTAAACCAATCACATAAAAAGAGGACTGCTAATTTAAAAGAAAATGTTGATATCTTTAAAAAAAATAGAGTCTCTTCAGCCATATATGTCGCGTCAGGTGAGCTTGTCTCCTTATGACATGAGTAATGGTAGATTAGTGATTATTGCCAGCACAATTAAACTCAAAATAAAACATTGCAAAGGAAAAAGAGAAAGTACCTGACTTATAACAGTAGAATCCAGCTTCTTTTTCGGACCCTTGGTGAGTAGTGAAATCAGAAATTCAATAAAGGGCTAAAAGATTCAATCAGCAGAAGAAAATCTCTTGATTGTTCAAACTTCAAATAAAAAAATTAGGGAAGCAAAGATAGCTACAACAGCTAAGGAGATCAAAATGATGGGGTAGTGGGCTTCAGATTCAGCAACCTGTACGTACTGAATCGTGATTTGAATTGCTGCTGTGAAGCACAAACTCAGGAGTGTCTTCCTTAATTCGGTTTCCAAGTCCGGCTTCGCGTCAAGAACATTGTTTCGCTGTGATTCGTTGATGGTAAGAGGCAGTCGCCCTCTTGGTGGTGATTCTGGAGAAGTTGGATGCCGCTCTTGTGGAGATTGTGATTCTGAGATGGTACTAGAAGAAGAAGGAAGGGGTTGCGATGATTGCGATTCCAGGTCGTCAATATTAGGAGGAGAAGCTGGCAATCTTGACGGCAGGTGTGATGTTATGAGGTGCAAGAGTTGGGACAGAGATTCTGCAACCCAAAGAGAGAAATGATAAAAAAAAAAAAAAAAGAATTAATTAATTGGCACATGGATACACTTACATGAAATAAATACATACGTGGAAATTCAATTATCAACAAAACTTGCATAATAAACCTGAATAAATCAGACTTAATACCATCAGGTGGTTGCATTGTTAAGGTTGGATGAGATAAGAAATTCAGATATAGAGTAGCACATAAAATTTCTTACCCACGATCTTCATCTTGATTGCACCAATCTTGATCTTTCCTGAGCATCAACAAGAAGAAAACAAAGAAAAAGAATGTCCCAAATTAATGACGGTACGTCATCGTAGAAGAAAGTGAGAAATGTAAAAAAGAAACGATCACTTACCCATGATGTTGGAGGAACCGAGACGCGCTGAGAAACAGTAAGAGAGTTGTAGGAAGTAGAGAGGATAACAAGTGAAGCAATTGCATATCGATGGTGTGATATTGATATATATATTCTAAGAGGAAGACACCTTTGTTCATAAGATCAGAAACAAGATATACTCTCCTTTGAAGTCAGGAGAGTGCTTGTGCAGCTTCCATCTATATACTTGTCAAGATATATAATTTTATGACAAATGTTTTTCTCATCCCTTGATTTTGTGACACATGTTTTTCTCATCCCTCGTGTTTCAAATTTATTAAATTGGTATTTTCAAGTAACCATTTTATTTCATGTAAATACCACATCGTTGACTCAAATACTTTCAAATGACCAATTGATTAAATTGGCATTTTCAAGTGATCAATTTATTTCATGTAAATACCCCATCGTTGACTTCAAGTGACCAATTGATTAAATTGGTATTTTCAAGTGACCAATTTATTTCATGTAAATACCACATCGCTAATAAACCATCCTGCATATTGAGTCACCCATGCATATTGATGGGACACTCAGAAGGGAAGGGAAGGACCATACATATTGATGAAGGAAGGGAAGGATTGATGGGGACACTCAGGAAAGGGGAGGACTGATATGGGCAGGACTGATATGGGGAAGGACTGATGGGGACACTCAGGGAAGGATTGATGGTGCTCGTGGTCGTTTGCACCCTTTTTCAAACAGATGCATGCCACCAGCCGCTGCCACCACCACCACCACCACCACCAACACTTAAAAAAATGAAGTTAGATGTTTCAATAGAAAAGAAGTTCGACTTAAACAAAAACTTACTATAAAATTGAGTTAATAATTTAATTCAATCAAAATGTAAGACCACCATCAACACTTAAAAAAATTATATACCACCACCATCACCACTTAAAAAAGTTATATGTTTTAATAGAAAAGAAGTTCGACTTAAACAAAAACTTATTATAAAATTAAGTTAATAATTTAATTCAATCAAAATGTAAGATTTGGACTTTTAACATATCTATTCAATTTATACTAACTTATTCTTTCAAAAAATAATTTTATTTATTTATTATAGAATATAATTCTAACTTAAACAGTTTTAAGTGAAAATTGAATAGATTTTATTTATTTAATAATTTTATTATTTCTTCCTAAAATAATAATTTAACTGGAATGGTAATTATTTACTTATTTATATTTATTTGAATTGATAATAATACTGTTTGCTTAATTATTATGGAAATTGTAATTATGATGTATTTATCTTTTATATTAATCACATTGGATTTTCCGAAGTGGAGAGGACAAAATTTCAAGATGAAGGTCTACTTCTGCCAATTAATACAAGCATTATACAAGGGCATGCTGTATTTTTCCATTGAAATCAATGTATTAATGCTCAATGAACTTCATCTTATGCTAGCTGAATGTTCAATTAATGTTGAAATCAATATATTAATCCAACATTCAGCTAGCACAACATAGTTCATCCAGGATTAATTATTGATTTTCATTGAAATTTAATATTTTAATCCAATATTCAGTAAGTATAAGATGAAATTCATTGAGGATTAATATATTGATTTCAAATTTCATCTTTATGCTAAATGAATGAAATTCAATATTTTAATTCAATATTCAGCAAATATAAGATGAAATTTATTGAGAATTAATAAATTAATTTTTATTAAAATCAATATATTAATCCAACATTCAGCTAGCAAAAGATGAAACCAATATAAGATGAAGTTGCTAACTGAAGCCAACATAAGATGAAGTTTAATGAAATCAATAAAATATTATTGATTTCATTAAACTTCATCTTATGTTGGCTTCAGTTAGCAACTTCATCTTATATTGGTTTCATCTTTTGCTAGCTGAATGTTGGATTAATATATTGATTTTAATAAAAATTAATTTATTAATTCTCAATAATTTTTTGCTAGCTGAATATTGGATTAATATATTGATTTTCATTGAAATTGCTAGAGAAAAATGACTGTACAAATATTTTTTTTAAAAAATTAAGTTTCAGCCATTTCAACTCCTTTCTTGATGAAGAAATTAGATTTGGATCCACTAGGTGACCTCTGGCCTTAATAGTGGATGTGTTTGGCATGGAAGGATTGCATGGAATCGACGAGCTACAAGTCGTTTTCATCCTGGTTGGTAAGTCATACGTGATACCATTTCTGAGTTATATGTAGAAAGAAAAATGGTGGTGTGAATAGAAGATGATGTAAGATGAGTGTGAATATGTACTTAATTATTAGTTATTAATTAAACATATTTTCAACCTAGTTACATCATTATTTTTACTGAAAAATAGTTGATTATCGTGTATGAGAGTATTTAGTTTTGTGGTTTAATCTGTTCTGGACTTCATTAAAAATAATTTATTTTAAAAAAACTTAAATTAATCATTAATTAATTAACAAACATAATAATTTTACATGAATGTCATTGAAAATTCTCTTTTAAATTTTTTGTTATAATCTATAGTTTTTTTTTTAAATCTACATTTCAAATTACAATTGCAAAACCTAACACAATACTAAACATATAATTATAAATATTGAAAAAACAAATTTTTTTCCATATTCATTGTAAGTCTATTATATAAAGGGACGTTTGTGATAATAATAGATGTTACTTTTAAATTTTTTTTTTTTAAAAAAATATATTAAAAAAAAATTATTTCTAACATTATCTATTAACATAATCTAAAAATATTATAAAAAAATAATTTTAATTTGTTTTTCAAAACACATGTTCAGCCACCACTGTGCCGACACCCCTGTAACCATTTCAATATCACAAAATACCGGTCCAGCCTTCAAGCTTTGATGGGGTATATTTATGGGCTAAGAATGAATTTGATTGAACAATACGATGGAGTAGGCCTACATAGGCCTGTTGATTGATTTTATGTCGGGCCTGCTTCTCTGATTTGGATTGATTAATCTTATTGGAAGAATTTACTAAGGCTGGCAAAACCCAATGATTGACAAACCTATGAATTGCTAGGTGCAATGTGTTCATAAATAATTAAATATAATAATTTATAGCTTCTGCAATGTCTTTAAATTGGTGTCCAGCATGTAAATAAGTTCCTCTCCCTTGCTACTAATTTTTGGAACCATATATAATATGCTGCGTTTTGATCAAGAAAATGTTGCATTTATCAGCTTATTGGAGCTCCTTCCTTTATATTTAAGGATGTATTTTTATCTTTAATATTTTCTTTTTAAATTAAGCTTAGAAAAGAAAGTTTCATATTTCTATTATTAATCCTGCGTAATAAGCATACATGCATTAACTAATCCTCACCGTTTCTATAAAAGTTGAATTCCAATCGTGGTTGCCCTATAATAACACAGGAGGAGGAGTAAACTGTCAAATTTCGCATTTCAGAACCACCTAGAGGCAAGTGCAGATGGCAATAGTAATCAACAACATGATGTAGACTGCCCATATAACACATTTGATGCCAAGAGGGAATGGAGTTGCTATGGCGAAGAAAAACGTTGTCGCCGCTAGGAAGAACGCAACTTTCTCCAACACCTTGGCTGCAGTCGGAATCTTTTTTCCAATAAACGGTGAGACGAATAGAGAAGCAAAGATAGATGCAATAGCTAAGGAGATCGAAATGATGGGGTAGTGGGCTTCAGATTCAGCACCCTGTCCGTACTGAATTGTGATTTGAATTGCTGCTGTGAAGCACAAATTCAGGAGTGTCTTCCTTAATTCCGTTTCCAAGTCCGGCTTCGCGTCAAGAACATTGTTTCGCTGTGATTCGTTGATGGTAAGAGGCAGCCGCCTTCCTGATGGTGATTGTGGAGACAGCGCTAGAGGAGATTGTGATTCTGAGGTGGTATTAGAAGAGGAAGGTTGGGGTTGCGATGATTGCGATTCCAGGTCGTCAATATTAGGAGGAGAAGCTGGCAATCTTGACGGCAGCTGTGATGTTATGACGTGCAAGAGATAGGACAGACATTCTGCAACACAGAGAAATGATAAAATTAATTAGAATTAAATTAATATATTTTTAATGTTTCGAAATCATTTTAAAATAATAGTATTAAAAATAATTTTAAAAAATAAAAAATTATTCAAATATATTTTCGACTAAAAAACATTTTAAAAAATAACTCATACAAAAATACCAAACTCTTAAAAAAAATTCAATTTCCATGAAAATAATTAATTAATATATTTAAAAATAAAAAATACAACACTTCTATTCTATGTTATTTCATAAAATTATAAAAGTAAATGATACATATCAAAATAATTTTTAAAAAATAAAAAATTATTTATATATATTTTAATACTAAAAATAATTTAATAAACAACCTATAATGCTGTCAAATAAGTGATAAGAAATTCAGATACAAAGGAATATGAACTTTCTTACCTAAAATCTTGATTCCAATCGTGATCTTTCCTGAGCATCAACAAGAAGAAAACAAAGAAAAAGAATACTCAGAAATTAATCACGGAGGAGTACGCAGAGGAAAGTGGGAAATATGAAAAAGCAGCGATGGAACGGCAGAAACAAAAGATCACTTGCCCATGATTTTAGAGCAACAGAGACACGCTGAGAAACGGTAAGACTGTAAGAGAGTTGTACTAAGTAGAGAAGATAGCAAGTAATTAATGATATGAGCGAGGATTTACAACTCTTCAGGGAATCAAGTCCTGCACAGAGGGACTCGCTTTATGCTGAAGACTACACAAGGGTAGTTTTGTCACTTTATTCTAAAGAGTAGTGGTAGTTGTGTTACTTTATGCAAGACACTTCATGCAAGACTGCACAAGGGTAAGGATAGTGGTAGTTAGTTTTGTCACTTTACGCTAAAGACCACACAAGGGTAGTTTTGTCACTTTACGCAAGACACTTCATGCAAGACTGCGGTAGTTTTGTCACTTTATGCAAGACTACATAAGGGTGTGAATAGAGAAGCTGTAAGATGAGTGTGTATATGTACTTAATTATTAGTTATTAATTCAAATTAGTTACATCATTACTTTTACTGAAAAATAGTTGATTATCGTGTGTGAGAGTATTTATTTTTTTTGGTTCAATTGCCCTTCACTTTATTAAAAATAATTTTTTAGAAAAAAATCTGAAGTTAGTTATTAATTAAATCATTCATTGTGCACCGATTATTAATTATTTGCAATCCCTACACAGGGGGAAAACAATTTGTATTTTTCCCTTCCATAGCAAACGTACCATGCATTATTTTTGTTTATTTTCGTTGTTTGACGTGGTAGGTCATTTGATTATGTGGAAAGATGTAATTTAAATGTATTTTATTTTAATAATAATTTTTAAAGTGTTTAATTATTAACATATAATAATTTTACATAAATCTTATTAAAAACTCTCTCTTTAAAACTTTTATTATAATATTTTTTTGTAATTTATAATTTTTCTTAAATCTACATTTTAAATCATAGTTATAATTAAAATTCAACTTATTAATTGACATGGTAAAATGACTGGATAATGGATCTTATAAATTAACTCGGATTAACTCAGTGAAAGAATAACAATTTTAATTTTTCTGTCCAAAATTCCAAACGTAAACATTTAGTCTATTGGCTTGGAATTTAAAATTCTTACACCTTCTTTTGATGTTCTTTGTGAATCTACTAAAAAATTATCAAAGCTGGCCTCATTTGTAAAGGTATTGTAAATGGGATGCCCTATTCTAAAAGACTACATGAACCAACCAACTGAGAACTAACAAGAAAAACAAAATTAGCGGCAACAACAATGTAGGTGATAGTTTTTAGAAAAACAGGAAAATGAACATTGGAACATGAGCTTGTTACAAAAATAACAGGCTGCAATGACAAAATCAGGTGCTCACTATTAACCATTACTTGGAAATCTCATGCAATAACAACACCAGATGCATAGCGGCTAAGCATCAATTTCACCAGAAATTAATGTAGCTATTTAGAAAAAAAAAAGTTTCAAAAAAGTGGCTTTCATAAGTCAAACTATAAAGGAATATTAAAACATCTAAATAGAAGGAAAATAGATGATGATGTAAATCAGTGGCATAATGTCTATCCCAAGTTAAAAAATAAAATCAAGGGACCAAGCGAACTGGTAATTCAGTAAACCAATCACATAAAAAGAGGACTGCTAATTTAAAAGAAAATGTTGATATCTTTAAAAAAAATAGAGTCTCTTCAGCCATATATGTCGCGTCAGGTGAGCTTGTCTCCTTATGACATGAGTAATGGTAGATTAGTGATTATTGCCAGCACAATTAAACTCAAAATAAAACATTGCAAAGGAAAAAGAGAAAGTACCTGACTTATAACAGTAGAATCCAGCTTCTTTTTCGGACCCTTGGTGAGTAGTGAAATCAGAAATTCAATAAAGGGCTAAAAGATTCAATCAGCAGAAGAAAATCTCTTGATTGTTCAAACTTCAAATAAAAAAATTAGGGAAGCAAAGATAGCTACAACAGCTAAGGAGATCAAAATGATGGGGTAGTGGGCTTCAGATTCAGCAACCTGTACGTACTGAATCGTGATTTGAATTGCTGCTGTGAAGCACAAACTCAGGAGTGTCTTCCTTAATTCGGTTTCCAAGTCCGGCTTCGCGTCAAGAACATTGTTTCGCTGTGATTCGTTGATGGTAAGAGGCAGTCGCCCTCTTGGTGGTGATTCTGGAGAAGTTGGATGCCGCGCTTGTGGAGATTGTGATTCTGAGATGGTACTAGAAAAAGAAGGAAGGGGTTGCGATGATTGCGATTCCAGGTCGTCAATATTAGGAGGAGAAGCTGGCAATCTTGACGGCAGGTGTGATGTTATGAGGTGCAAGAGTTGGGACAGAGATTCTGCAACCCAAAGAGAGAAATGATAAAAAAAAAAAAGAATTAATTGGCACATGGATACACTTACATGAAATAAATACATACGTGGAAATTCAATTATCAACAAAACTTGCATAATAAACCTGAATAAATCAGACTTAATACCATCAGGTGGTTGTATTGGTGAGGTTGCATGAGATAAGAAGTTCAGATACAAAGTAGTACATAAAATTTCTTACCCATGATCTTCATCTTGATTGCACCAATCTTGATCTTTCCTGAGCATCAACAAGAAGAAAACAAAGAAAAAGAATGTCCCAAATTAATGACGGTACGTCATCGTAGAAGAAAGTGAGAAATGTAAAAAAGAAACGATCACTTACCCATGATGTTGGAGGAACCGAGACGCGCTGAGAAACAGTAAGAGAGTTGTAGGAAGTAGAGAGGATAACAAGTGAAGCAATTGCATATCGATGGTGTGATATTGATATATATATTCTAAGAGGATAACCTTTGTTCTCCTTAGCTATTGTAGCTATCTTTGCTTCTCTATTCGTCTCACCGTTCATTGGAAAAAAGATTCCGACTGCATCCAAGGTGCTGGAGAAAGTTGCGTTCTTCCTAGCGGCCACAACGTTTTTCTTCGCCATAGCAACTCCATTCCCTCTTGGCATCAAATGTGTTATGTGGGCGGTCTACATCATGTCGTTGATCACTGTTGCCCTCTGCAATTGCCTCTAGGTGGTTCTGAAATGCAAAATTTGACAGTTAATTGTGCCGTAACTTCCACGGTCCGTCCTAGGTTGTATTAAATATAAATAAAACCACAACCATGTCAACAATCAATTCAGCTCGATTATTTTTCAGTGCATTTCTTTATAATTTTCTTTTAAACTGGCCAGGTCTCTCTGTCTAGGCATTTTCATTTTTTTTTTTGTATATGATGGCTTGTTTTTTTTTTTGTGGTGAATATAATTAAGATGGCGAATGCACAATACATCGAAGATCGAGTGAATTAATTTATTTTATCTAATTATAACACTTTCTTGGAAGAGTACTAATACTAATAAAACAACCTAATTAAAAAGTAGCTGGATAAATTTATCTGTGAATTGTGATATATGAAATTAACGAAACTAATTATATCCTACAGAATTTGAATACTGACCTTGTGGTTCATGCTAGCCTTTTCACTTATTCCATGTATATACGCTACAAGATTTTCCAGATTTACTTTACTCCTCCTCCTATGTTATTGTAGGGGTAACCGCGATTGGAATTCAATTTTTATAAAAATGGTGAGGATTAGTTCATGCATGTATGCTTATTACGCAGAATTGATAACAAAAAATTAATTAATAACCCTATGTAGGCCTACTCCATCGAATTGTCCAATCAATTCCATTCTTGGCCCATAAGTTCACCCCATAAGAGCTTGAAGCCCATATCAATATTTTGTGATATTTTTTTTATTTACGTGGGGTGTCTGGGCCAGCTTACGCGCACCACAACTAATCCCCACGGTCCACTGAACATCCTGTAAGCCCAATAAACAGGTAAGACACTGTGGGGGTGACAAGCATGCATGGTAAATCTCGAACCCAGGTGTGGAGGAAAAGAACAAGTCCCTTTCACCGCTAAGCTAGAACCGTAGTTGCAATATTTTGTGATATTGAAATGGTTACTAGTGGATCGCTTGGTTACTAGTGGATCGCTTACCTCCAAGAAATGGATCGCGTACTAGCTATAGAGGCTAAAACACTTCGCCCGACAGATTTCAAATTAGACCATGTATTTGCCAATACTGCAGGTATTGTCGAATCCACTCTCAATCTCAAAAGAACAATCGAGAAGGAGGCGATAGTTGTGAAATGGGAGTTTGAACTTCACAAACTGATCTCAATGCCCGGTGCACTCGAGAAAGTTTTGTCAAAACTGAAGGAACTCAGACTAGAAATCATGGTAATAGTGGAACAGGAAGCCAACTATAACAGTCCTGAAATCTTGGACCGACTTGCCCAATCATTCCCAATCAATATTTTGTGATATTGAAATGGTTATGGTTTTTTTAGCTCCTTGGCTGACCGGACTTTGAAAAATTTTAAAATTTTTATTTGTTTAAAATTAAGTTTTTTTTGGATTGTTTTGTGCCACTAAATACAAACAAAAAAAATGTTTTTTCAACACTTATAAGTGTGTATTTAATATTATGGTGGTTTTTCCGGTTGATGTTGCAATTTGAAAACAAATATTTAAAAAAGTTTAGAAATTATAGTTATTTTATAGCAAAGATTTCAAGAGAGTTTTCAGTATCTATAATATATATTGATTGACCAAACACTTTTAAAATTATAGTTGGGATAAATTATAGTTTTAATCATACCTGCTCACATAACCAAACGGAACTAATTAATATGTCAAGCCAAAAAAATGTTTGCTATGAAGCAAAAATTCAAGTTCTTTTTTCTCTATACCTATGACTCCTACAGATTGCAATTAATCCATAATCGGTACTTAGACAATGAAAGATTTAATTTATGAACACCATTGCACCTAACAATTCATAGTCTTGTTAACCATTAGGTTTTGCCAGCGTTACTTAATTCCTTCAAGAAGATTAATTAATCCAATATAGGCTGAACATAAAATTAATCAACAAAAACAAAACATATGATGATGATCACAAACACCTCTAATAAAAAAAACAAAAAGGAAATAATGTATTTCACTTTAAATCATATTATTATTGAAGAGGATGATAATGATAAATTTCTCATCAAAGAAGATGTTGAGGAGACTTTGGCCGCCTTAGAATCAGAAAATAAACATACAGTAAATGGACTTAAAGAGATTAACTTAGACATTGTTAAAAAACCACACCCAACCTTCATCAACAAAAACTTATCACTAAAAGAGAAAAGGAGATGACATGGAGCATTGAGATATCTTTACTTAATCCTATGATAAAATGCTATTTTTAGACTTGGAGGTTGTTGTACATTAATTAGCAATACAAAATTGGGTTGGACTTGTAAAACAAACTAATCCTTGCTTTAATTTTGAACTCTTCTCACAAATTGAGATTGAAATGAACAAACTTATCCAAGTAGGTTTTGTTTGTGTGGTTAAGTATTTTACATGGATCTCAAATATCATGTTGGGAAAAAAAGAATGGCCAGATCTATTTTTGTGTAGATTTTGGAGACCTTAACAATACTTGTCCCAAAGATGGCTTTCTACTTCCAATCACTAAGATCATGGTTGACGCTACAACATACCATGAGAAATTAACCATTATGGATGGTTCATCTTGCTATAATCAAATTTGAATGGTGCTCGCAGACAAGAAGAAGACAACCTTTTAGACTTAAAAAGAGATATATTGCTATAAGATTCATGCCTTTTGAATTAAAAAATGTAGGTATCACTTATCAAAGGGCAATGCAAAAGATTTTTAATAATATGTTTCATCAACATCATGAATGTTACATTGATGAACTTGTGGTAAAGTTAAAAGAAAAAAAAATCATTTGAAAGATCTTTGTCTAGCATTTGAATATGAATTTGGTGTGTCCTCAGGAAAATTATTAGGATTTATAGTTTGACATCAAGAAATTAAGGTTGACTGATCTAAAATCGATATCATCTTAAAAATGCCAGAGCTAAGAAACATCCATGAGTTAAAGGGTTTCTAAGAAAAGTTGACCTATATGTGAAGATTCATTTATAACTTAAAGGGTTGATGTTAACCATTCACTCACTTGATGAAGAAGGACACATCATTTTATTGAGATGAAGTTTGCACTATTACTTTAAAAATAATAATTAAAAAGTACATTTTTGATCCACCTGTCCTATAAACACGTCATGATGTCTAATTATCCTCTTTATAACAGCTCAAATATGTTCTTTGGAAGTGTTATTGGCACAATAAAATGATGAAGATAGGAAAAATGTTATCTATTACCTTGGTAGGATGTTAAATGAGGTTGAACAGAATTATTCTCCAATATAGAGAAGACATGTCTAGCATTAGCATTTGTGATAAATAATTTAAGAAATTACCTCTAAGTGTATTAAGTACAACTAATCCCTGAAGCCAATTCTCTCAAGTACATCATCTTAAGGCTAGTCCTACCAATAAGATTGGCAAAACGAACTCCATTGCTTTACAAATTTGAAATTGTCTGCATCTCATAAAAGGTGATCAAAGCGCAGGCATTAGCTGATTTTTTTATCGACAATCCTATTCTTAATGAATGAAAATTCTTTAAAGACTTGTCTGATGAGGATGTTTTGTTCATTAAAATATCAAAACCATGAAAACTATTCTTTGTTAATGCAACACGACAAAATAAAGTCGTAGTTGGGGTAATCTTTATCACACATGAAGGGGAGGTCTTGTCGTTTGCCTTATCATTAACTAAATGCTATTCCAATAACATGGTTAAATATCAAGCTTTGATTTATGGGTTGGACATAACAGTGAATATAATGATGCCTCTCCTTAAATTATTTAGAGATTCTCAATTAGTCTTTAAACAACTCCTCTAACTTTATGAAGTTAGGAAGTTAAAACTCATTTTATATCACAAGTATGCACTAAAATTAATGACATCACTTAATTGTAACACTTTATAACATGTACCGTAGAAGGAAATGAGCAAGTTAATGCCTTAACAAATCTAGCATCAACAGTAGCATCATAGAAATAAAAGTTTTTGTATGCCAAAGATGGGTCATTCCACCGATAATTCATGATGGAGAAGAGAAAGAACAAGTGAGTGTGGTTTCTATTTTTGAGATTGAAAAAGATGACTAATGCTGGCCATTTATCGATTATTTGAGACATGATAAATTACCTAAAAGCCTTATTGAATTGAAATAGATTTATTATTGTACAACAAAATATTCCTACTGTATTTATTTTTGCTTTTATATTCATTTCATAGTTTATTGAAAAAAAGATTCCTTTTGCATCCAAAGCATTGGAGGAAGTTGCATTCTTCCTAACAACCATAACATTTTCCTTTGCTATAGCAGTTTCATTCCCTCTTAGCATCAAATGTGTTATATAGGTAGTCTATATCATACTGTTAATCATTATTGCCATCTGCAATTGCTTCTTGATGGTTGTATTTGTTATTTTCAAATGCAATATTTCTCTTGTTGAATTTTTTGTGATCAGAGTGAAACTGTCAAAACTTTCACGGTCCTAAGTTGTATTAAATCTCAACAAAATCAGAATATATATAAATTAGAAAAGTACTTCTGAACAGGAATCTTGATTTATTAGCAAGAAAATGTTAATATGGCATACCAAAGAAGCCACAAGGGAGTTATGTCAAACACAATTGAAAGAGGTAAGAAATCGAAGAAAAAATTAAACAAAACTGGAAAAGGAACTTCATTATTAGGAAATCTATGAAATATTATGCATACTAGATTGAAAGCAAACACAAAAAAG